TAGAGGTGGAGGACTAAAAATGCCACCCTCCACCCCACTTCAGTCAGTAAAATGGTTTGAATTTCATCTTTGTGGGGGTTATATACAAGGGACTTTACTTGGGCAAAACATAGAGCAATTAAGAAAACCAGTTGCCAAGCACTATACTGAATAACTGCTAGATTTCTTATTGTGTGTCTTTATTAAACTACAATCATGGTTTCCTGAGCTCAGGAGGGGTCCCCATTCCTAGCAGTGTGGCTGTGGAGTTAGACTGGAAATCCTGTCTGGAGGCACCAGAAGAACTGAAGTCCCTCCTCTCACAGCATGCATACTGTCTCTCCTTGGCTGGGAAGGTGGCCTGCCTGCCACCTGTCATAGAAAATCCTCCATTCCTGATGTCTCCTGCGACTGGAACCATTGGGAGTCCTGTGAGAAAAGGGGAATCCTCCTGAGAAATTCATTCATTTCCCCTTTTCTGTTTTCTCTCATGTAATGCTCCACTGAGATGAGGAAGTTGTGGTTAAACACTGAATCGAGAGGAAGCCAAATGAATTCTTACCCATTAAGCACAGGAAGCCCCCACGAGCATCCCTACTGTGCACAAATGACGTGGGGATCACTGGTGCGAGAGCAGAGATTTGTAAAGTCCATGGAACAATGTGAAATGAAATGAACTTGGAAGGAAAGAGGAGAGACGTTTGCCGAAGAGGAGAAACAGGAAGGATACAGCATGAAGGCTCCCCTCCGCTTTGCCTGTCAACTTCATGCTCTCAGAGGAGGAGGCCAGACCGCTGGGAAGGGAGGAGAGGCCCTCAGGTTTTCCTCAAGGTGGAAAGCAAACCACAGCAGGCACAAATGCTGGTATGTAGGACAGGGATAATATTGAATATGAACCCATGGCTGATTCATGTCCATGTATGGCAAAAACCACTACAATATTGTAAAGCAATTATCCTCCAATTAAAATAAATGAATTAATTAAAAAAGATACTAATGATGTTTCCATGGATATCATTGCCAAGGATGAGGTGATGTTTTGAAGCAATTGCATTTAAGAAAGAAGTTAAAAAGGGGTATGTAGGTCAAACAAACCTCCAGGAGGAGGAATGAAAGGTAATGAAGGTCAGAAACCACAGAGCCAGGCTAACTCTTTCTCTCCCCTTGCCCGAGTCTTCCAGGGGAACTAGAATGGGTCTTCTGGGCAATTGTAGCACTTTGTACAAACCTCATAGCGCAAACTCAAGGTACTGTGGAAAATGTTCTGACCCATTTCTTCTTTCCCCATTTAGTTTCTGGAACACTGAAGATATTAAGTAGGTATCTTAAGGAAGGAATGAAGAAATGCGTGTGTAAAAGAAAAATTAACTGTAGCCCAGTCCCGTGTGTTAAATGTGTCCAGCATTTAACAGTATGGTAGCAGTATGGTAGAAAGGTGAAACTCAGAGCAGGCCTTCCTAACATGGTTCTACCTGGGACCTCACTCGGCCATTTTCACGTGTCATCTTCATCCAGGAACTAGATTAAGCAAGATTGAGATTTAATGATAAATTACCTAACCCCTGACACTTGGGACAGGCTGCCTTAATCACTCATTTCAGTCCAGTTGCTGAGTCATGTCCAACTTTTTGTGACCCATGAACTGCAGCATGCCAGGCTTCCCTGTCCACCACCAACTCCCGGAGCTTTCTCAGACTCATGTCCATTGAGTCAGTGATGCCATCCAACCATCTCATCCTCTGTCATCCCCTTCTCCTCCTGCCTTCCGTCTTTCCCAGCATCAGGGTCTTTACCAATGAGTCAGCTCCTCGCATCAGGTGGCCAAAGTACTGGAGTTTCAGATTCAACATCCGTCCTTCCAATGAATATTCAGGACTGATTTCCTTTAGAATTGACTAATTTAATCTCCTTGCAGATCAAGAGACTCTTAAGAGTCTTCTCCTACACCACAATTCAAAAGCATCGAATCTTCATCACTCAGTTTTCTTCTTAGTCCAACTCTCACATCCATACATGAGTACTGGAAAAACCATAGCTTTGACTAGACGGACCTTTGTTGGCAGAATAATGTCTCTGCTTTTTAATATGCTGTCTAGGTTGATCATAGCTTTTCTTCCAAGGAGTAAGCATCTTTTCATTTCATGGCTGCAGTCACCATCTGCAGTGATTTTTGGAGACCAAGAAAATAAAGTCTGCCACTGTTTCCATTGTTTCCCCATCTATTTGCCATGAAGTGATGGGATCGGATGCCATGATCTTAGTTTTTTGAATGTTGAATTTTAAGTCAGCCTTTTCACTCTCCTCTTTTACTTTCATCAAGAGGCTCTTTAGTTCCTCTTTACTTTCTGCCACATGGGTGGTGTCATCTGCATATCTGAGGTTATTGATATTTCTCCTGGCAATCTTGATTTCAGCTTGTGATTCATCCAGCCCAGCGTTTCCCATGATGTACTCTGCATATAAGTTAAATAAGCAGGGTGACAATATACATTCTTAACATACTCCTTTCCCAATTTGGAACCAGTCTGTGATTCCATATCCAGTTCTAACTGTTGCTTTTTGACCTGCATATAGATTTCTCATGAGGGCAGGTCAGATGGTCTGGTATTTCCATCTCTTGAAGAATTTTCCACAGTTTGTTGTGATCCACACAGTCAAAGGCTTCGGCATAGTCAATAAAGCAGAAGTAGATGTTTTTCTGGAACTCTCTTGCTTTTTTGATGATCCAGCGGATGTTGGCAATTTGATCTCTCATTCTTCTGCCTTTTCTAAATCCACTTGAACATCAGGAAGTTCATGGTTCATGTACTGTTGAAGCCTGGTTCAGAGAATTTTGAGCATTATTTTGCTAGTGTGTGAGATGAGTGCAATTGGGCAGTAGTTTGAACATTCTTTGGCATTGCCTTTCTTTGGGATTGGAATAAAAACTGACCTTTTCCAGTCCTGTGGCTACTGCTGAGTTTTCCAAATTTGCTGGCATATTGAGTGCAGCACTTTAACAACATCATCTTTTAGGATTTGAAATAGTTCAGCTGGATTCCATCACCCCCACTAGTGATGCCTCCTAAGGCCCGCCTGACTTCAGACTCCGGGATGTCTGGCTCTAGGTGAATGATCACACTATTGTCGTTATCTGGGTCATTAAGATCTCTTTTGTACAGTTCGTCTGTGTGTTCTTGCCACCTCTTCTTAATATCTTCTGCTTCTGTTAGGTCCATACCATTTCTGTCCTTTATTGTGCTCATCTTGGCATGAAATTTTCCATTGGTATTTCTAATTGTCCTGAAGAGATCTCTAGTCTTTCCCATTCTATTGTTTTCCTCTATTTCTTTGCATTGATTGCTGAGGAAGTCTTTCTTGTCTCTCCCTGCTATTCTTTGGAACTCCGCATTCAGGTGGGTATATCTTTCCTTTTCTCCTTTGCCTTTAGCTTCACTTCTTTTCTCAGCTATTTGTAAGGCCTCCTCAGACAACCATTTTTCCTTTTTGCATTTCTTTTCCATGGGGATGGTGTTGATCCCTGTCTCCTGTACAATGTCATGAACCTCCATCCATAGTTCATCAGGTACTCTGTCTATCAGATCTAATCCCTTGAATCTATTTCTCACTTCCACTGTATAATGGTAAGGGATTTTATTTAAGTCATACCTGAATGGTCTAGTAGTTTTCCATACTTTCTTCAATTTAAGTCTGAATTTGGCAATAGGAATTCATGATGATAGCCACAGTCAGCTCCTGGTCTTGTTTTTGCTGACTGTATAGAGCTTCTCCATCTTTGGCTGCAAAGAATATAATCAATCTGATTTCAGCGTTGACCATCTGGTGATGTCCATGTGTAGAGTCTTCTCTTGTGTTGTTGCAAGAGGGTGTTTGCTATGACCGGTGTGTTTTCTTTGCCAAACTGTTACTCTTTGCCCTGCTTCATTCTGTACTCCAAGGCCAAACTTGCCTGTTACTTTAGGTTCTCTTCACTTCCTACTTTTGCATTCCAGTCCCCTATGATGAAAAAGACATCTTTTTTGGGTGTTAGTTCTAGAAGGTCTTGTAGGTGTTTGTAGAACTATCCTACTTCAGCTTCCTCAGCATTACTGATTGGGGCATAGACTTGGATTACTGTGATACTGAGTGGTTTGTTTGGGAATGAACAGAGATCATTCTGTGATTTTTGAGATGGCACCCAAGTACTGCATTTCAGACTCTTTTTTTGACTGTGAGGGCTACTCTGTTTCTTCTAAGGGATTCTTCTTCACACAGTAGTAGATATAATGGTCATCTGAGTTAAATTCTCCCATTCCAGTCCATTTTAGCTCACTGCTTCCTAAAATGTCCATGTTTACTCCTTGTTCAGTCTTTAGTAATGACTTTGTCATACTATTGCCTACTTGAAGCTGATTTGCTAGTTAGGCAATGTCTGACTGCTAGAAAAATAAATCATACAGAGAAGCTTTAAAAAGCAGGAGGAAATCTTTGGGAAATGGAAAAGCTGGTGATTCTAGGAGCCAGCTCTCTGTTCTGAGCGGTGGAAGGGCAGGAGCATTTCACGTATCACCAGCCAGTCTTCCTGCACTCTGGGGAGTAAGAGCACACAGAACCCAGGAGCAGGTTAGGACCAGCAAAACTAAGTAGTGAAGGCCAATATTTTTAAAAGTCCAGAGTGCTCTGTGAGTTATGTCCGTTACGGTGCAGAAAGTAAGGGTCTTTTTTAAGACAACATAGACTCAATAACAGGATGTTGTGTGTTAGGTAGAGTGTATCTCTTTGTTCCCCTGTGTGATCATGATCTTGAGATTGTGAAAACAAACCAACAGAAAAGATTAATCTGTTTTATGTCACAACGTTTTAATGGTGAGACCACACATTGTAAATTAGAAGGATGTGGTCTGATGGGGGTCAGATAGCTTTTGGTTTTGTGGGGGTGCAAGGACCCTACAAAAAGGCAGAGCCTGCAGTCTGAAACCCCAGGACAGCAGAGGCAGGGAGCCCCTGGTTTCCTTCAGCTCAGAAGAAAAGGAGAGGCCAGCATGGCCCGCCTTCCCCTGCTGCTGCTGCTGCTGCTCGGGGGCCTGGGGTCTCGTGGGTTTCCAGCCACTTCAGAAACACAAGATCAAGACATGGAGATGGTCCAGGTAAATGCTGAATTTCACGTGCCAGAAATGCAAGAGCCCTACCTTCTCATTTTTCCAAGGTCAAGGGATAGGAGTTCATGGAAGTCTGGGATTCATTCTGGGATAACCATTTTGTCAGAAACAGATTCCCTCATACAAAAATAAAAATCTACTTAGATTGAGGGCAGGAGCAGAAGGGGGCAACAGAGGATGACATGGTTGGATGGCAGCACCAACTCGGTGGACATGAGTTTGAACCAACTCTGGAGATACTGAAAGACAAGGGAAGCCTGGTGTGCAAAGAGGCAGACATGACTTAGCAACTGAACAATAAAATCTCTCTGTAGACATTTTTGGAATATAGAGAAGGATAAAGCCAAAGAAAAGCATGCAGACTGGTTTTTCCTAATTGTAATTCTGACTTCTAATTGAAATTCTTTAGACCTAGCAATAGCATAGTTTCTGCCACTGCACTGACATTTCTGTACCAACAGTAAGCAAAAGGAAGGCTGTGAAATTAAGCTGACAGAAATTCATTGCAGAAGCAGGTTTGTTTTTCCCCTCTTGACACTAAATCTTTAAGGTAAAAGAACTATTCTGTCACTACAGTGAAATGCTAGGAATTTTCAGAGAAATAAGAAAGATTTCATATCTTCTGTTTGAATTTTTTTATTTATCAGAAATACCTACAAAACTATTACAGTTTAGAGGTTGGAACCAGCCGATTCGAAAGGCAGAGAAACCACGGTTCAATGATTGAAAAATTAAAGCAAATGCAGGAATTCTTTGGGCTAAAAGTGACTGGAAAGATAGATGCTGACACCCTGGATATTGTGAGGAAGCCCAGATGTGGAGTGCCTGATGTTTCATCCCAGGATGAACTCACTCCAGGGAACCCTCGTTGGCAGAGCACACACCTGACCTACAGGTAATTAGACGGAGCCCAAAGAGGGGACACTGTTTCCCACCAGAGCCATGAGAAATGAGCTCTGACGTGTCTGTGTTTTCTTTCATGTGAAGGGTTGAAAATTACACCCCAGACCTGTCGAGAGCAGACATGGAGCAGGCTGTTGAGAAGGCCTTTCAGCTCTGGAGCAGTGCCTCACCCCTGACCTTCACCAAGGTCTCTGAGGGGCAAGCGGACATAATGATATCCTTTGTCAGGGGAGGTAAGCTCTTTCCTCCCCAAACCATTCTGAACCTCGCCTCACACCCCCTTCAGACATGCTCAGCATTCTGGTCAGAATTTCCCCTTATTTGAGGGTGCTAATTTTATGGGCTAAAGAAGGGACCCCTCACAGGTGAACAATGCCTTTTGGCTCCTTGCCCTTGCTCTCTCGTCTCTGGTAGGGAAGTCTAAATAGAAGAGGAGATTTATCTTTGCTGCACTTTGTCCCTCACAGATCATCATGACAACTATCCCTTTGATGGACCTGGGGGCATACTCGCTCATGCGTTCCAACCAGGAATAGGTATTGGAGGAGATGTTCATCTTGATGAAGAGGAAACATGGACCAAAGATTTGAATGGTGAGTCAGGAATTCTCCCTCCCTATTTTTATTTTCCCTTTTTGTGGCTTAATGCAATATGTTCTGTTTTGTATAAAAGAATAAACCAATATTATGATGATAGTTAAATGCTTTAATAAAGATATGCTTTCTAATGGTGGTTCAGAAAGATATTGCAACACTATAGTTACAGTTAGTGATAACGTCTGAGGATACTGTTTCTACCAGTGGTTGCATCTTAAGGGTAAAATATGTTTATGAAATTTTAAAATACTCTAAGATTATAAATGATATTTTGTATGTGTACAAATATGTACCAGAATTAAATAATGGTAACTTTTGGTGGAGTTGCTTTGGAGAGTATGTATTTTGGTACATGGTTATCCAAATTTTTGTTTTGAATCTATATTAGTTTATTTAGAATCTATAGTTAGATTAAAGTCATAAACATTAATAGAATGTTGTTGTTTCTCTATGTAATCTTTTTTCCAATTTATTTATTGCCAGACTTACTAATCAATATTAAAATTTTGCATGTCAGCTAATTTTTTCCCTTACATTTTATCAGTTCAATTCTAGAAATTTAGACTTGAAGTCTTTCTAGTATTAATTAATTCTTCTCTTATGATTATACACACACACACATCTCAGACCATGTCATAAACCAAACCACAGTGGAATTCTTATGTGGTTTGGAGATATATTTGCTCTTTGAGGCCTGAATATTGTACTCCCATCTGCTAAAGACTGACCGATTCTGTTGCCTTTTAGATTACAACTTGTATTGGGTTTTGGCACATGAATTGGGCCATTCCTTTGGACTTTCTCATTCTACTAACATGCGGGCTTTGATGTACCCCAACTACATCCACACTGGTGAAGTTTATCTGTCTCAGGATGACATCGAGAGCATCCAGGCCATCTATGGTAAGTGAAGTTGGGCAAACCAGACAAATGCTTGTGAGCTATATGTGTGCTCCAAATATAAAGGCAATGACCTGGGTCCTTGAAAGACTCTTCATCATATATATTTTTGGGTCAATGTAGTATGTAAAACCTCATTAACTTCAGGATCTTTGTTTATTTTTTAAGGGCCATCTAATAAACTGCAGCTGGCCCCAGTGCTACAAATCCCACAACCCTGTGATTACAGGATAACATTTGATGCTGTGACCAAAATTCGTGGGGAATTGTTCTTCTTCAAAAACAGGTACAAATTATAATTAATCCTGACATATGTTTATAATGATTATACATTTGTGCATATTTTTTTCTTTTCTTACTCAATATTGCATTCATACATAATTATAAATATCCATAAAATAAAAGTTCTCCTAAGTCCTGCTCCCACCACCCTCCGTGACACATAGAAATATGTAGAGCTTGGCAGAGGGAAGGAGTATGACTTTCCGAGGGCCGCAGGTAGTCTGCAATGGAGCAAAAGCTGGTCTGCCAACTCCGGACTGAAGCTCCTTTCCCTAGCACTCTCTGCTATGCTAAACGTGATGGTGGAGTTGAGGACAAATTGCTCGTCTTACTGTATGGCTGAAACCAGCTCTCTACTCTGCTGAGGGTTACATAACCCAGAGTCGAGACGGGGAAGGCCACCCTTTCCGTCTGCATTGTCCTCCCATCCTCACGATGCCGCTCTCCCAACCTGCCATCCGGCAAATCCTCATTGTGCCCCGGAAGCCGAGAGGAAGAAAGAAAACATCGTTTGAAGACCAGCCCCCAACCTCACCCCGCCTTCTGAGGGACTTGGTACTTTCCTCCTCAAAGCCTTACAGTCCTAGAACTCAGCCTACCGACTGTGGATTCAAACAGGCTAGAGTGACCTCACGCCTGTCTTCCTCTTCTCAACAAAACTGACTCACTGAGGGATAAGAGCATAGATAGTGTGATCCTCCCCCTCCAAATGAGAACTATTAGGGATTTGGAAGAAGTCAACAGCTCCCTTTGAGCCTATAGAATGTTTGATGTTATGCATTATTTTGTGTTAGTATCTAAATGAGATAAATGCAGGTCATCAGGAGGCTTAGTTATAAATCTAAGTTAATTTTGTTTTTAAGTATCTGTACAGACATGGGAGGATCATTGATGAGAAACATATTTTTTCCTTTCCTCCCCTTCCTCCTCCTCTTACTGTCTTTTCTCCTCCTCCTCCTGTCTTTTTTTCTTCCTCTTCCTCTGCTGCTGCTGATCCTTTTTCTTCACCTTCTTCTTCTTCTGTTTTAATGGAAAGCTGCCAGAATGTCAAAATACCTCAGTTGTGAAAAAAAAAAGTTCCATTTGGCAGGAAGAGTTCAGGTGGAGTTGGACTAGGGTAATGAAATTTGGCATTCCCTGTGGCCTTGACATTTATCCTTGAGGGAATCAAAACTTGACACAGTCACTGATTTGCACAAGGTCCTTAGCCGCTTGGGAGGAGGTTGAAGCAGGGACTGACATGAGAATTAGGAAGCACATAGCGGGTCTGGAGGTCATCCCATGAGGCATGGTCAAGGAGTAAGGAACAGAGACAGATAAGTGAGCAGAGACAACAGGGGTGTGCCCATGAGCAGTTACCACTCTGGTCAACAGGGGCCCAGTCCCACTGCAGACCCTTGAAGTCCTCACAGAGGACTGTCCCACCAAAGGGCAGGGGGCCTGGGGTACTTCTCACTGACGTTTCCCCTCGCTTTTTGAGGAGGTCCTGAAGGTGTCACTAGACAGAGTCTTGGCAGGCACCGCACTGGCCCAGCCTGCCCCTGGGCGGGGGAGAGCTCAAGGTTGGGGGGGGACGATGGGGACCATCTGTCAGAGCTGCACATCTGGTGGTGGCCCACGGATTTGGCATCAGGAGGGTCTGCTCCAGAGACTGACAAGGAGGGTGCTTGCCACGCATCAGCCTTTGTAGGATCCTGTATCATTTTCCAAGGCTGGCTGGCTATGGGGCTTCCATTCGAGGGTCTGCTCCAGAGACTGACAAGGAGGGTTCTTTCCACGCGTCAGCCTTTGTAGGATCCTCTGTCATTCCCCAAGGCTGGCTGGCAATGGGGCTTCTGTTCCGTTTCTGTAGTTTTGGGGACACATGTGTTAGCCCACGTGGAAGTCTCTGCTGTGCTGTTTCCCTGTCTCTGTCGACTGCGGAATGAACATGGCAGAATTCTCAACTGAAAGATAATAAAAGAAAAGAGCTTAGTCTGGGCAACCTTACAAATCTGGTTTAAAAATTGGACTTTGCCTCTTATGAACTGTGTGGCTTCAATTTCTCATCTATAAAATAGGAGCAATAAGAGCTTCCATGTAGGATGTTTGTGAGATAAGTCATAGTGTAATTCGTAAGTGCTTACCACATTGGATGATAATCTTGTGTTCCAGGGACAGAAGGAACTGAGAGGCAGCAGAGAATGCCAGTAATTATCTTTTTTTTTTTGGTTTCTTTTCAATTCAGGTTCATCATCCGTGCTTATCCGTACTACCCAAGGGTCGAAGTTGCGTTCATCTCTAATTTCTGGCCAGATCTGTCAAGTGGGATTGAGGCAGCTTATGATGTTCCTGAAAAAGATGAAGTCCTTTTTTTCCAAGGTAATACCACTGAATTTCCCCCTTTTTTATGAAACAATTTACTATTGGTTTGGATTGAGAAGCAACAATTCAGTTCAGTCACTCAGTCATGCCTGACTCTTTGCGACCCCATGGACTGCCCTGCACTAGGCCTCCGTGTCCATCACCAGTTCCCAGAGTTCACTTAAACTCATGTCCATTGAGTTGGCGATGCCATCCAACTGATGCTGCACTAAAGTAACAGTGGCTGCACACTTTCTCCTCATAGATTTTTTTCTTAAAACCTCAAAGTCTTAACTACTGAATCAAGGAGGATTTGTTATTGTGATTTAAAACGACATGCTGAGTAATTAGAATAAAAATCAAATAGCTAGCAATTTAACTTTTCCTTTTTTTTTTGATTATGAAACTGAAAGTAGGAAATGCTGTATTTGGGCATTCCACATGTTTTAAAAATACATATTTTCCAGGATGCTGAGAAAAAAGTAGAGAGACCCATATCAGACCTAAAGGAAATTAAGAAAACTTTGTCCTTAGGTTTTTTTTTTTTTAAGAAATCCTCCTAATAGACATTATATTAATAGTTTGAGGGAAGTTGAGAGCTTACCCTTCTCATAAACTGCACATCTTTATAGATGGGCCACTGTCCATAAATTCCAGGTGTAGACTGCTTTGATTCTCTTAGATCCAATTATGTTCCAACATTCAGCCATACTTTGTGTATATGCTGCCAAACGTCTGGGTTCTTAGAAAATAATTCAGATGTTTGGCTTTGTATGCACAAAAGAGTAAGACAATTAATCCTAATAGCATTAAGGTAAATAATTAAAACCACTTGTAATAAGCAAAGAATTTTTAAACATACTGTCCAACACATGTACCACAAAAATAAGGACAGATATATAATGTGCATTTAGATAGCATCACCCTGGCTCATAAAGAATACTCTTCCAGGAACAGGCAAGCCAAGAGCTCAGGGGTGCTGTCCAGTGGGACGTGGAAACATGCATTACACTTCTGGCCTGTAGGACCACTTGTGCCCACCCACACTCTCTGGGCAGCTGGAGAAGTGAGCCATTAGAGAGAAACTAAGCCACGACGGAGAAATGCCCAAC